GAATACACATGGTAATACATTAGTTTCATTTCTCACAGGTATACAATGGAGAGTTTGCTACATACATTGTATCCAAGTGCAATGCACATTAGGTTAGTCACATACTACTAACACAGCACTATTCCAGTAATTATGCAGACACATCATTATTCTAGTGATTGTTCATCATTCCACATTACCTCCATTGTAGGGAACTCTACCCTATTCTTTCTCTTGGCATCTGAGTTTCAGTTCCAGTAGAGAAATTCTAGCAGTTCAAGTCATCCACACAAAGCAAACATGGGTGAAATTGATAGGAATTTTTAACAATTTTCCTTTTCTTTTTTAATAGTATAAAAGTTTACAAATATAAAGCTAAAAGCTGCAACATACTATAGAAAATATAAAAAGAAAGAAAAACAAAAAGATAGAAAAAAGAAAATTTAAAAATACTTCTTTTCCCCACCAGTGTAGGAGGCATTGGGATGCCCCTTCACTTTTTCTTCCTCCCCCTCCCTTTATCCTGTGTGAAAGTTAGGATGGGCCAGTATTTCTCAACCTTAGCAATTTTAAGATAAGTGGATACGTGACGGGCTGGGGAATTCTGAGAGTTGGAAGTCCAAAATTTTAAAATTGCCGAAGTTGAGAAACATTGGGATAAGCTCTCAGATCTGAGGCCACAAACATTTGAAAGACGACTAGAGGGCAGCAAATAGTTACCTTCTGGTATCTCTTTCCTGCCATCTAGTGGTTGTCCAGATTTTGCAGCCAGATATGGAAACCGTAGGTAAAGAAATTTTTGTTGCTATGGGTTCTGCAGAAGCTCCAAGGAGTGCAATGTTTTTCGCTCCTTGTCCTCAGCATTTCAAATCAGCAAAAATGAAGAAATCATAGGCTGCCTTCAAACTGCTTTTGAGAGCTTGAGGAATGAAAAACATGAAAGTCCCAAACATGCCTGCATCTAGAACATATACAACGGTGGGGCTTGAATTTAGAGAGGAGGGAGACTCCTGGAAAGTCACCTTGGAACAAATGTGCAGATCCGGAGAAGTTTATTTAACATTTGAAAAGCCTGGAATTAGGCAGTATCTGGTTAGAGAATTATTCTTTCATCCATTCCACGCTTTCCAGGCTTCATGAAAGGCTATTGCAGTTATTTGATCTGCTTATACAGTTCTGCAGTGGTATTACATCGAGGGACAGATTGCTGGTATATTTTAAAAGTGGGGAAGAAAAGCCATTTTCACTTTGTGTTGGAGCTTATAATGGTAGGTGTGGTGGGTTAATAAGTAAGAAAAAAAGATGCCAGCAGCTGAAAAGGGACTTAAGACCAAAAACAAAACAAAACAAAAAACCCAAAGGGAATGTAGCTGTTGCAGCCAGAATAGATTTGCTTTAATGAAGTGGGACACAGGATGCAGGATTTTACAGCAGAATCTGGATTCAAGGAGTTTGCAAGCTGGGTCATGATGTTACTAAAGGGAACCATGCAGGGCCAGATCTTTTGAATGTAGAGCAGGAGTGTCCAATTTTGGCTACTTTAAGACCTGTGGACTTCAACCCCCAGAATTCCCCAGTCAGCATGGCTGGCTGGGGAATTCTGGGAGCTGAAGTCCACAAGTCTTAAAATTGCCAAGGCTGGGCACCCCTGATGTAGAGGATGCTGAAGACAAAAGGATAGTGTAAAATATTACTGGTACCCACATTTTTAAACTATGGATTTCTACTCTAAATGTGTTTCAAGGCAGAAGTAAGCAGATACATTTTTAAAAAATAATGCCATGGTTATACTTATTGGTTTAATGATTCCAAGCACTTTAATATCATTTGAGGGTTAGAGCTTAATTACCCAACTTCCTTGCAAACATCTATTGAAAATAGTTACTCTAAGCCTTACATTTTATCTAGATTTATCATTGCTTTATCATTATTTACAAATGGCATCAGTAACAATCAAGGCCTCAGGTGCTTGCAAATGCATTTTTTTTCCAGCAGTTGTTTATCTTCTTGAAGTGTACAACCAAGCACAACCAAGCATGCCAGTTTAAAAAAAATCTCATTACTTGTGAAGATCACATATTTTGTTTTTCTGGTTACATACCTGTTGGGAAATTGTTTCTAGTTTCAGTGTTATGATCCGTATGCACTTCATTGCCCCCTGAAATATAGTTGTTCTACGTCTCCATATATATGGAGCTGTTTACTTTCCTCCCCTCATGCAAATATTTTGCCATGCATAGAAATAATAATGATTTCAAGGTGCCTAGTTTCAGAGCACCTGATGCTCTAGCAGCCTTGAAATTGAGTAAATGTTGCTCTTAAAGGAAAAGCTCTAGCCAATCCATGACTTGTTTTCCCTTCATTTCTCCTTTGTCAGTTCATGTTTGCTTAGGAGATCCCCTATTAATTTAAGAGTGTTGATCGGTGATTTTAAAGATACTGTAATTGTGGCCATTATCTTGATTTTTTTTTTCCAAATTCTGCAGACACTCTTGGGCTCGGATCTGGAAAATAGAAGCTCCAGGCAAAATGAAGTTCTAATGAAGCCTAAGGCATCAGGAACTTTATTTTCTAACTCCTGTAAGTAGGAGGTTAAAAATGGAATGCCCATGAAGAAATGGGAAGTCTCAGAAGGCTTGGGAATAGTAAGACTTAAAAACATGGGGAAATAAAGCTGGGTGTCTGTTAAGAGAAAAGTTAAAGAAAAAATGAGATGAATTATCCTATAGAAGGGCATGGCTTGTCAATAGGTTCTATGAGGCTGACTATTACTCTTATAGAATACAGAAGACAGAATAACGAAGAGTTGGAAGGGACCTTGGAGGACTTTTAGTCCAACCCCCTGCTCAAGTAGGAGACCCTATATCAGTGATGGCGAACCTTTTAGAGACCGAGTGCCCAAACTGCAACCCAAAACCCACTTATGTATCATTGGGTGCCGGGTGGGCGTGGCCCATTGGGTCGATGTGGCCTTTTGGGTGGGTGTGGTCTTTGAGTGAGCATGGCTTCGGTGGTAATGGCAGACTGGGCGGGACTAAAAAGTTCAATCAATTAATTCCAACTTTACGAGATCTATTTTTTCCCGTGAGAAGTTGAAATTGATTGATTGATTGAACTTTTTTTTTGTACATGGCGGCAGAAGCCTAAAGTGAAAAGGTTTTATAAAACCCAGCTGAAGGCCTAGGACTGGGGTGACAGTGCGCGTGCCCACAGAGAGGGCTCTGCATGCCACCTGTGGCACACGTGCCATAGGTTCACCACCACGGCCCTATATCTTTTCAGACAAATGGCTGTCCAATCTTTTCTTAAAAACCTCCAGTGTTGGAGCATCCACAAGTTCTGGAGGCAAGTCATTCCACTGATTAATTGTTCTAACTGCCAGGAAATTTCTCCTTAATTCTAAGTTGAATCTTTCTTTGTTAAGCTTTCAACCATTACTTCTTGTCTTGCCCACAGATACTTTGGAGAATAGGTGGATCCCCTCCTCTCGGTGACAACTCCTCAATACTCTTCCCATTATACAAATTTTTAAGACCCTATTTTACCCAGAATCTTGTCAATCTCCTTTTAGGATTTCATTTCATAGTCAATTTTACTTTAAGCAAGGAAAAGTGTCTTTCTTTTTCTTTTCTGAGCACGATATTCTGGAATACATCAAACTAAAGTAGAGGTTAACATAGATTCTATGTTACTTTAAAATAAAATACATTGTGGCTTTTTCTTCCTGAAAAATACAGCCATTTCCCACCTTTTCCTATACAGCAGCTAATCAAAACTCAATCTTCTGCACAGATGTGAAAGAAAACAAGCCTTCATATAAAAAAAAGTCCATTTCCAAAGAAGTAGGCAGAATGGATGCAAGAGAATAAGTCAAAAAGAGAAAAGGGCAGTGAAAAGTCATCCATGTTGTCATTGCCACCATTAATTTTATTTATACCTATGCTTTTGACAAAAAAAAGTTTATAAGGTTGGCTTATATAAAATCAATCAGATACAACATACTGTGAAAACCTGGACTAAAAGGAAAACCCCAGCAAGCAAAATCAGCAGTCATTTAAAATAAGCCATGGTTTAAAGTGACAGCAAAGTGCACAGTAAAATATGGTTCTCAAAAGACACATTGAAATAAATTGGTTAAAAATGCCTGTTCTGCATCCTGGGGGATAGAATTGAAAAGTGGGGGTACATTCAAGGCAGGACTTTGGGGTAGAAATTCTTGGTGTCAATTCTATGCAGTTCCTTCCCTATCACTTTGGCTCACTGTGGAAGTTGGGGGAGGAAATTCTCCAATGCTGCAAATAGTGGATTTTCATTAATAAATCCTTAATATTAATGATAATTATCCTGGTGTCTTGTCCTCTGTGTATCTTCTTTGGTTCCCAACCTGTGGATTGTAGATTAGTCAGCAACATCCTTGGTAAACCTCAGGAATGGAATAAAATTACTGGCAGCTTCATGTCTGCAGCTAAACTTTTTGAAGTATTTCTGGACCCAGCTTAGAGCTTAAAATGTCAAAGCTATCATCTGCTTGATTTCACCATTGTCCTGAATTTGGTCAGCATCCATCCATCCTCCTGGGACATATCCAGTGGGTTTCTAAATAGATTACATAAGTGGGAGATTATACCCCCCTTTTTTCTTATTGTTATAGAGGAAGCATAATATCAGACTTCTAAAGCAATGTGTAACCAAAGGGCACAATTCACAAGTCTCATAAATTAAATTTCATAGCAGGAAAAAAGGGTTAGTTTGTAGAATCTTGGAAATTACTTGCATATATTTTGGTCCACAGTCATTACTGAGTTATTAAGACAGAGTGTCTGATCCTCTTTGCCATAAGCTTCCTAATGGAGGGACTGATGCCTTACTTATGGCCAAAATGTCCATCTGTTTCTTCTCTGCCATGTTGCAAAAACTGTTTTCCTCAGATTCTAAGAATGCTGTTACAGTGAGATATGGCCAAGATCAAGGTCTATTTCTAGAGTTATACTGAAAGTATTTACAATTTGTTTATTTCACAGTGGACTAGACTATCCTCTTCTGGAATTGCCATGACCACATGTCCACCATGGTAACCACAAGAAATACCAAAATTTGATTGAGGTAAGTTATAATAACAGAAACTTGAAATTCTGGCACTGTTCCCTTCCTCATTTACCAGAGTCAAAATGGGGCAATATTTCATTTCTTTTTCACACTTCCTGAACATAGCTCATGTTTTAATAATGGTTGTCACCTTTCTTCCCCAAGATCATCTCTGGCTCCTTTACACACCATGCTGGCTAAAGATGATGGGAACTGTAAGCTATAAACTTACGGGTTAGGGTTGACAATGCTAGATTCCCTTTACTTCACTGAATCATTCACTTCATGTTCCTTTGATAGTCTTCCTTTATATACTTACATAATTCCTATTTGGATTCCCAGCTTCATCTGTCTGTTGTAGTGTGATGGATCCCCTTCTCTTCCTTTTAAAATCCATTTTGTTTTCACTTTCAAAATATATCTGTTCTTTGCTCCTCAATCAACAATCTCTGTCCCTTCCTTGCATGGGTTTTCTTTGCTTTTTCCCTTGGAAATGGCCTTTCCACAGCAACTTCTTTCCCCCATCCATAGCCATTGTTAAGAACTGTTTGGATGTTTTCACATTCTACCCTTGAAGCTTTTTTCATAGTTGGCTCAGCTCAGCTGACCCCAAGTCAGCTCACCTCATTCTCTATCTCTCCTTCCCCCCCCCCTTTTTAAAGCTTTTGCACCATTCTTTGGAGCAACCTCCCCAATTTGGCATGAACCTGCCATTAGAATTCAGCTTTCAAATGGAGGCAGCTTTTCAATCCTATTGAAGTGTCTGGTCCAGTCTAGGGGTCAAAACATGATCTATAACAAGATTGGATCTAAGCTTCATCCATAGACACCCTACAAATTTATTCTCTAGACCAGTGGTTCTCAACCTTCCTAATGCCACGACCCTTTAATACAGTTCCTCATATTGTGGTGACCCCCAACCCTAAGGGCTCTCCGAGCGTGCACCGACACTGCCCACTCACCCGCCTTGCCCGGGGCTCAGTGCGCCTTGCCTGTTCTCACCTCACTTCCAAAGGTCGCTAGCCTGCCCGGCTCCAGCTGGCTGGGGAGGGGGGGGTCAGGAAGGCCGCTCCGCTGGCTCGCCCAGCCTGGTTGGAGAAGCACCCAGGCGGGGAGAGGAAGAGAGCAAGCGAGAGACCCAAGAGGGCGACAGCACTGGCAGAGCTTAGTTCAGCCTCCTCCAGGGAAAGGGCCACGAAGCAGCGTAGCCTCCCTTAGGAGATACTCGACGGAACCGAATCCGGCACTGCAACGGCCCCCAGCTCGAAGCCGTGTGGAGACGGATGCGGAGCGGTGTCTTGGTTCCTAAGACCATCAGAAATAAGTGTTTTCCAATGGTCTTAGGCGACCCCTGTGAAAGGGTCGTTCGACCCCCAAAGGGGTCGTGACCTACAGGTTGAGAACCGCTGCTCTAGACCCTATTGTAGACATGACTATCCGATGCCTCACATGTATCTATAATTGTGAACATGACTACCTAATGCCCCACATATAGCTATCAGTCTTTTGGGAATAGGTAATTTTGATAAACATATTATTTTAAAAGTGATTTAATTTGCAAACAATTTAAGCGAGCTGTATAAAGAATGTCGGGGGGATTTTAATCACATTGCCAACATTTTAACTGACTTTGATGGAAGCAGAAAAACTTGCCAGAGTCATTAAGACTTTTATTACCACCATCCCCAGCTAAAAAAAATTAGTCAAGGAGAAGATTAAGAGGCTGTGTCAAGAAAGAATCACTCAAGGGTTGCAATCTATCAGGCTTGGGCATATAAGCCAAAGCAGTTCCATCCCAAACAGTAAAAGTAAGGGTAGGTTCCTAATAACATAGAAGGCTACTGATTCATCTCCACTGCACATGAGCTGAGAAGATCGTATGGTCAAAGTAGAGCCATCCATTCAGCTTAGGTGGATTTTGAGCTGGTGCTCAATAATAATAGCACTTTACAACTGGCTTTAGTTGTTCTTGGATAGCTAGACGTGCATAGTAAAGTTAGTGGCATATACAAAAAAAAATCCCTGGGATAGTGCTAATATTTTCCTCCAAGAATAAGGGGGGAGGGGGGGAGAGAGAGAGAGAGGGAGAGAGTTTATTATTTTCTTGCTAGATTTTAATGTTGTGATCTCACAGGACTCTTCTAGGAGGACAAAATTTGGGTTTTAGGTAGTACCAGGCTCTGGCTACTCATCACTATTTTAAACAGTACTATTGCAGATCCTATTGTTACCTTGAGACATTTCCATGAGTAGATGAGGATGAGGAAAGCTGGGGAAGCTTGTGGCAGAATGGGAGATCTCACTGCAACGAAGTAGCTGTTGCCAATTGGCCACAGCCAATGCACCACGGCCAACTCAATTTGTGTTTGTATAAGACAGCTTGGTTTTGGTAAGAGCTTGGAAATCTCATCTCAAACAGTCCTGTTGGGTCCCCAAACACTCATTCACTCCTGAATAGGGACTCAAAGGTCACACTCACCTGTCTCTGTCACTGCAAACCACCTATTTTGGCTCCAGATCTTTCCACTTCTGCTGCTAGCTGTGCTTCTTTTGTATGCACCCATTGGAGAAAAATGCTTTCCTGCTCTAGAAATAACTGAATATCTCATCCATAAATGTAAAGGTGGGGGAGAAATTCATTCATTCATTCATTCATTCATTCATTCATTCATTCATTCATTCATAGGACTATCAGGTCCCATGCTTGGCATGAGGTCCTCCAGAGAGGAAAGTCGAGGCACATGTGTAACTTTCACTATATTCTTGCATCCAGAAGGTAGATTGTATTGGATTTTAATACAAGTGGCATCAGTGAGGGAAAGAAGAAGAACGGAACTGGTAATACATAGGACCAGAGCTGGATGGAGAAGAAATGAAGGCCTTTTCTCCCCTGTTTGATTTCCTTGCTGGGATAATGATGTCCCATTGCATAATTCCTTTACCAAATGTCAGAAATGCATAGAATGGGAATGAGGGGAAGACATTTGCTGTCAATCACCCAAGCATTTTCTGAAATGTGTTTTAAGATGCTGTGATTTGGAAAATATACTGTGACATGACAGTGACATATGCCCTAACTTATTCCCCCTCCTTTTTTTGCTATTAGTTTACACAAGAACATCCAAGCACTTCATTCATGTTGGTTCAAACTAGTCAAAGCTGAATGACTGAAAATAAATACCTGAGGGAATGTATAGTTTTTTAGATGTTCAAAGATAGGCAGTTAATAGTGATATGGTGAAACTATATTCATGAGTTGGGTCAAGCTCCTGATATTTGTTTAATGGTTTCAGTGCTGATATTGACCTAAAGCAGGGGTAGGCAACCTTGGCTCTTTTATGACTCGTGGACTTCAACTCCCAGAATTCCTGAGCCAGGAATTCTGGGAGTTGAAGTCCACGAGTCATAAAAGAGCCAAGGTTGCCTACCCTTGACCTGAAGCAAACTTTTCAAAGAAGGCAACATTCATTCATTCATTTGATTTATATAGCTAACCATCTCACATTTATGACTCTGGGCAGCTTACAAAACATCTCATTACTTAGCTTTGGAATTTCAGGCCAGTTTGGAAATTAGAAATGCCTACCTCTACTATTTGTGAATTTTCCAAGAAAAAAAGAAGGTGCAAAAGATGCAACTACACATTTTTTTTAATATTGTAGGGAGTCAGCACCCACCTAGAGAATGAAAAAAAATTGGGAATATTAAAAAGGCAGGATAGAATATTTCTCCTGAAGGAGAAATATGGAAAAACCTTAAGGGAGCCCCAATTTCCCCAGGCAGAAATCTGAGGAGGCCACTCTTTAGAGATGCAGGTTTTCTATCCATTCAGGAAGTCTGGGGATAGGAAGGCTGGAGCTGAGGGGATTAGAAAAACAAAGACTCCTAAAATCTACATCCCCCACCCAACTTCAAAGGACAGGACATGACCTCCAAGCCACAATGGGAGTCAGGCAACAATTATTACAATACCAAAGGGGCACTAGTCAAAGTACATTGCACAGGAACAGGCACCTCAAATACAAAGCCCCACAGAAGGTATAAAAACCCACCCACTCTCAACTCTATTTGGTCAGCTGTCCCAGAACTACATGCTGTTGTTGGTTCCGCTCATCATTAAACCTTATTTCCAACAGCCAGTCTCTATTTTATTTTTATTTCCAATGTCTGAGCCTCCATTTTATTTACTCCCAGCTTGGACCTGATGATTTTTTTTTTCAACAATATCTTTTGGGGAGAGGCAGAGGTGTAGCGCTGATGACAAACAGGTAGTTCTGAAAATTCCTGGTGCCACTTTCACTTGTTTGCTACGAAAGACACCCAGCCATAAGGGCAAGCATTTAATTGCATGTCTAATTAAGCACTAATAACACCATCTTGATTTATGCAGTTAAATTCTCATAGCAAGGCCCTTCCCTTTTTTCCACTCAGTCCCACGATTCATCTGCTTTCTTTGCTATCAGAAAGGCAACATGCTTTGTTGTATTTAGGAATGGAAAGGGAAAGGGAAGGGAAGGGAAGGGAAGGAAAGGAAAGGAAAGGAAAAAGTTCAGAGCTGTCCTGCAGTTGGAGAGGGGAGGAGCATGCCCCACCAGTAGCAGATAACAAGAGATGAGACTGATTAGGGAGAATTTCAATTACAGCTGTATTGATTGATGAGAAAGGAAACAAATGCTGCAGCGGGCAAGAGGTGGCTGTTGTACCTCCTGATACCCTGTGATTGAGCTGTCGATATCTGGCCATGGGGAAACCTATACAAAGAGTTATGTGGCTGGCTGGGGAGGATTGTTTTCCCTTACACGATTAGTATTCTCTAGTCATCATCTGGAGCTCTGCATCATGAAGCACACAAGGCACAGTTTCACTACCAAAGCCAGTAGATCATTTGTGCATTTGTGAGGTCATAAAAAAAGAAGCATTCCTATGGTGGTTGTTCTCTCCACAGTCTGCGGTGGGTTTTCTCTGAGGCTATTCTTTTTAGACAGGTCAGAAGCTCAGGGCAGAATGCAGCTGCCAAATAGTTCCACAGGGTGGCTGTGTCATTAAAGAGCTGCAGTGTCTCTTGCTGAACCTCCACGTTGAAATAAAACTGTTGACTCTAATTTAGAAAACTGGAAGGAATTATGATGCGGCGGCTTTAACATTGATTAGTGATTGGCTCAACTTAACAAACAAAAAAATTCTTTCTCTTGAAGGATGGGATTTACTATATGGATGGCACGCATATCTAATTTATAATAAAAAAGTAGATCAAGCTTTTAAATCTCACATTTTAAGAAATGCTTTATTACGTGTCTAGAAGAAGTATTATTATAGGTTAAATTATAAAATTCCAATTTGGGGGATTCCCGGATACGTGATAGAGGGAGTATCTAGGGGAGTGAATTTGGATAGGATTTCTTATAAGGAATTACTTGATTTGGTAGGGAAGGACTGGCAATTAAGATCTTTAGCTGAGTTGAAGCAAGAAAATATTGTACACTCTTGGTTTCAGTATAATCAATTGTTAGTTAGGTGGAGTTTAGATCAAAAGGTAGGTATTACTTTAGAGAATGCAAATTTGATAAAACAGATTAAAGATCAAACTCTAGCTCATATAAAGAGAATTTATAATGTCTTAATAGAATTGGATTCTGAAACGGAATTAGTTAAAGATTGTATGGTAAAATGGGCACAAAATATTCAAGAACCGATTCTATTGGATACATGGGAGACAATTTGGGTTAGAAATGTAAAATTTACTCAAGCTCAAAATTTGAGAGAAAATTTTTATAAAATGTTTTATAGGTGGCATTTGGATCCCCAAAAGTTGTCTTGTATGTATCATAACTTGCAGCCCAAATGTTGGAGATGTGGTAGTTTGGATGCAACTTATTTTCATATTTGGTGGACTTGTAGAAATGTAAAAGCTTTTTGGATTAAAATTTGTTGGATCATTCAGAATATTTTTAAAAGAAAGATAAAGTTTATGCCTCAGCTATTTTTGTTGGGTATTATTGTAGATTTTGATGTTAAGGAAACTAGTTTGATGTTGAATTTAATAACTGCAGCAAGGCTGTTGGTAGGGCAATATTGGAAGAAGGATTGTTTGCCTATTATAGAAGAATGGACGCTTAAAGTGTTAAATTTAGCAGAAATGGCTAAGATTTCTGCTTATTTGAAGGATTATTCATAAGAAAGATATGGCTTTGTGGGCCACATGAAACCACTTTGCGGGTCGCATCCAGCCCCCAGGACTTGTGTTTGACATGTCAGCTCTAAAGGGTTCTTCTTACTTTTTGGCCACTGATAAGCAACTTAATGTCCTGTGGGTGTCACTGCATTGCCTTAGTTAGCATGGCCAATCATCATATATTTAGAAAATTATAGTCCAAGCAATCCAGGAGCTCCCTTGGTAAGCATGATTATTAGAAGGCAACCTTTACCTTTGTTGCTCAATTAATCACATAAAGTGTTAGTTGATTAATGAATGATGCCACATTGTAATTGATGAGGAAGGAACATGTGTACTGATGAAAATGATCATTAACATTGCCCTTGCTTACTTTTCAAGCCGTTTTGAAACCAAGTGGTCCTGTAACACACCATAGAGTAAAATAACATTTAACAGATTTAATTTTATTTTCTGCTAGTCAAACAGGTGCCCTTTTAGAGATTAAAAAAGATGCAGAACTTTGCAAAGATTTCAGCTAGGAAAGGACACAGCGTAGAATTTATTCTGAGTGAATATATGTTGGTTCTTAACGTTTACACTTTTTTCATAGTAGACTTTGGTATGATGCATGTTTTAAGGATAATATATCTGGGATGCAAAGATCTAGATGTCAGCAGGATCACAGCAAAAATATATAAAAATCTATAACGCTAACTCTAGACATCTAGAGATCATCTACATTTTTGCAATCCAAAAATTTCAGTTCTAGCATAGGTTGTATAACTGAGTAAGCCAATAATATGTGAAAGGGGAAATAATTTATTAGGTAGACATTATTTAATCAACTGATAGCTCTTGTCATGATAAGGATTCCATGCACACTAAACACACACAGGGACACAGCATCCACCTCTTCAAGGCCATTATACAGATCAGTGTTCTTTTCAACTTAGTTTGAAGAAATAATTTCTCTCTTTCTCTCTCTCTTTCTCTTGTTGAAAGACTCGAATGGGTAATGTTCTAATTTCATAACTTTCCAAATTCCTGGATTGATTTTGGCTGAAATATAGTGCCATTGATCCAGATAGTAAAATCTTGCATGAAATTAGTCTACATCTTCACTATAACCTTCAAAAGGACAAGGTTCTGGTATAACAGAATTGGCTGGATGCCTACATTAGCATTTTAGATCTCTCTCTGGGCTGTTGTGAATCTTCATCCTGAAGATGTAATAGAAATGATCCACTGAATCAAAGGAACTGAAGAAATAAACCCCAAAGGCTCACCAGTCTGCAAGAATATTGCGGTCCCAGGCAGCATACTAAAAAGCAGAGACATCACCCTGCCAACAAAAGTACGTATAGTCAGGGCCATGGTTTTCCCAGTTGCAATGTATGGCTGTGAAAGTTGGACCATAAGAAAGGCTGAGTGCCAAAGAATTGAGGCCTTTGAACTATGGTGCTGGAGAAGACTCCTGTGAGTCCCCTGGACTGCAAGGCGATCCAACCGGTCAGTCCTAGAGGAGATCAACCCTGACTGCTCTTTAGAAGGCCAGATCCTGAAGTTGAAACTCAAGTACTTTGGCCACCTAATGAAAAGCAAGGACTCACTGGAGAAGAGCCTAATGCTGGGAAAGATTGAGGGCAATAGAAAAAGGGGACGACAGAGAATGAGGTGGCTGGATGGAGTCACTGAAGCAGTAGGAGTGGGCTTGGATGGACTCCAGAAGAGGGTAGAAGACAGGAAGGCCTGGAGGAACATTGTCCATGGAATAGCGATGGGTCGGACACGACTTTGGAACTAACAACAACAACAAGGCAGTGGTGGGATTCAAATATGTGAACAACCAGTTCTTTGTGTGGATGCCAATTCCAGAAGTCCATTCTGGGCCTGGGTAACAAAAAATTAGCTCCCGGTTCTGCCAAAGTGGTGCAAACCGGCTGAATCCCACCACTGGTCCTAGGGTCTTCAAAGAATTATGAGCTTTATTTTATTTGCGGAGGGGAAGAGAATTTGGATGGCATTTTAAGGATAACAGAGATTGTTGATGCATTTAAAAAGCAATCAAATTTGTTATTTAATAATTTTTTAAAAATTTAATATTTATTTTGCCCCATTACTGATGATTGTTTTTTTTTTTTTTTTTTTTTACAGCAGAAGCTACTGGGTTCTATTTCAGGTAAAACTTATTTTAAATTATGGTGTCTGCTAGAAGTGCCTCTCTTCATTCCAGATTCATTCCATTATTCCAAAACCTTAGGATTATTAGAAGTTTAATTTCTAGGTAGAGCATAGCTATTGTCTTAATTTGAGTACACAGGCAGAATTACTAAATTAACAACTACTATTTCTCCTCAACTCCTCTTGTGATTCACGTGGAATATGAAGATGTTTTCTAGTCTATCTGTGGTCATAGGAACACATGAATGCACTATATGGATGTATATTAACAAAATACTCAAGCTTAGAGGGTGACTGATTTTATCTTTCACAAATACAAAATGTCAGGTTCAGGGCTTCCTTGTCAACTTCCATCCTTTGCCATCATTGCCTTTCTAGATACTCAGCCTGTTTTTTTCACTTACACTTTACAACAGACATGTCAAACACAAGGCCCGGGAGCTGGATGCGGCCCACTAAGTGGTTTCATGTGGCCCGTGAAGCCATCCTGGAAACAGTGAGGGAACGGCCCCCTCTGCCTTGGCCCTGGCCCAGGCCAGCTGGGAGCCAATGTACAATTTTGTGGTGGCCATCTATGCTGAAACGCATTCAGTCTTAACTCCACAAGGCCATCTGGAAACAGCGAGGAACCAGCCCCTGCTGCATCGGCCCCACCCCCTGGGTGCATGCGGGGGAGGTGTCACCCTTTGTGAGGAATGAAGAAATGGACCATGCCTTGGTGCTTGCCCCAGTCCCACCCCCTTCTGCCAGAGACCCTCAGATCTGTCCCACTCCTGCCCAGGCCTCCACAGGCACCCTTGATGTGAACGATGTAGAGCTGGCCATGCCCACCCAGAAGGCCACACCCACTCCATCCATGCCCACCCAGTAGGCTGCACTGACTCTGGCCACACCCACCCAGCCCCCGAGGGCAACCGCAATGCTGATGCGGCCCTCCGTGAAATTGAGTTTGACACCCCTGCCTTACAATGACACAAAATGTCCTGGTAACATCTTTTTTTTCCCCTGCTAGGTCCCCCAGTGTTATTTTCATCTCTTCTTAGCTCTCAGTTGAGACAGGCTTAAGACATCCTTACTGTTTTGCCATTATAGTCCCCTCACCCCATGATTCTGACTCTGCCATGCCCAAGGTGTGTAAAATCCTTTAGGTCGCCTGTTTCCTTGGAGGGGAACTCAGGTTAGTGACAATGATTGGGAACAGACAGCATAAAGGCAATATAGAGATCAGCAATGGAGGATAGCAAGTTTTTCTGCCAATTCAAGGACTGAAGAAGAGTGTTATGATTTTTCAATCAATCAGAACAGAGCTGGAAAGGACCTTGGATGTCTTCTAGTCCAACCCACTTAGGATGGCAGATGCTTTCAGAATTGGGGATTTACTACATTTTTTAATTTTTTAAAAAGGATCACTGCAACCTTTGATCCATCTCTTCCTTCATTAGTACATTGACTTAACCTGACCCATTGTATTATATTTTAGTTTCCCCATACCTTTCCAGATGTTACATATTTAAATTATATTTAAAAACACTGCCCCATCCTTATCTCTCACCTCCATCCAGCTTTAGAAAGTTGATCTCAATTTGGGCCATTCATTTTTAGTTCTGCTTTACCCATAGATTGCTACTATACATTTTCATGTCCTTGGGTATAAGCAAGGTATAAGAAGGGCAATGCAAGGTTGAAGCAAAGATGCATTTGGACCAGCCTCCTGCCATTCAAATTTCAATTAGGAAGTTTGCAAGTGAGACAAGAAGAATACCCCAAGAATACCTTGTTCAGGAGCATCTTTGCTACTGCTTCTTTTTCCATCATTTTCTACCAAGCACATATAAATAAAATTTGGCTGAAATTTTCAGTCAATGATATTTTAAACATAGAGACTAAAATCCATCTTCACTAACAGAATCTCAATCAATTAATCTCATTTATAGCCATATGGCCTGCACATTAGATTCCCATTTATTTTTATTTTTAATTAATGTTATGCCCCACCTTTTTTCATCCCATTATTCTAGTCTCCTTATTTCTAGACTAACATTTTAAGCATTATACTATATGGACTGTCCCATCTGCAGTCCTTGAGGGCATTTATGGGTGACCTGCCTAGTTTGAAAGAGATTGTCCCTTCTTCCACTTATTAGGTCGGGAGGGAGGGAGGGAGGGAGGGAGGGAGGGAGGGAAGGAAGGAAGGAAGGAAGGAAGGAAGGAAGGAAGGAAGGAAGGAAGGAAGGAAGGAAGTTGAAATGTAGGTTGTAGGACAGAAGACAGAAATGTTCACGCCATCACCAATAGCCACAGTGCATGCATCCTGATAATAAATGAATTGCAGTCCTGGTGGTGCAGTCGTTAGAATGCAGTATTGCAGGCTAACTGCCCATTCCCAGGAGTTCGATCCTAACCAACTCAAGGTTAACTTAGCCCTCCAACCTTTTTTTAAAAAGATTTTATTGATTTTTTTTCTTACATACGTATAATAATTTTTCAACCAATGTGCTGTCTGGGTTTAAAAATGCTAATACATATTTAATTCCTAATCCTTAGCCCTCCACCCTTTTGAGGTCAGTAAAATGAGGACCCAGATCATTGGAGGCAATATGCTGACTCTGTAAACCATTTAGAGAGGGCTACAAAGCACTATGAAGCGGTATATAAGTCTAAGTGCTGTTGCTGCTGCTGCTGCTTCTAGGTTTGTTATCACTCTACATGGGAGAAAAAAAAAATAATAGTGTTTTCTCCACTAGTTCTGTGGTTAATAATATGATTGTCCAAGAAAGCAATGCATAATTCCTGTAACATCTCCCTAGGCTAAGTGTGCAAGGAAAGCCTCCTTCAAATTGAGCCCCGATTATGGAGACTTTGAGGATATATTCCTGATGTTTTCTTGCAATAGTGCAAATGTGTTTTGCCACTGCCATCTTTTAAAATTCAGTTTTAGTATTGCAGTCTTGTTTGCAGCCCTGGGATTTCTTGGTAGGCTCCCATCCAATTACTGAGGTGGCCTTATCCTGCTTAGCTTTTTTTGAAATAGCTAAGGTTGGCTAGCTGCCACCATTTCACTAGGCTAAGGTTCTTACTTATAGAAATATAAAAAGGCAGGATTCAAATCTAAAATTGTGGGAAGTTTTGAATGAACTATGTATGTCACTGCAGATTGTAATTATGGGCTTAATTTGCATGTATGTGTTGTTTGGTGCTGAAGAAATTTGCGATCTTGTACTTAGATTACATTGATTTACTGCAGCTTCAGATCCTCACGTCCAACCTCTTGGATTTTGAACATTCACGGAGAGACAAAGAATGCATTATGCATATTATACCACTTATGTAAATGATACGGGATTATTGGCACTAAGAATTGAATCAAATTTGATTTATTAGTCATACACTCCTTTGCAGCATCAGCAGAAGTGATACTTCATCTGAAATCTCAATATCCCTCTTTGCTGGAGATATTCCATCCCCCCATTGCAACATTAAAGAGGAAGAGTAAAAGAAAATATCTGGGAGACTAACAAGCAGTGACTAAGGAGAAAGGTGGGCTTGAGGGTATACAAAATGGCCCAAAGGAAAAAAATCTATGTTTCCATACTCTATGCTACCTCTCTTTTTGAAATACCTGCTCTCTATCATAATGAAGATAAGGCTTGTAATTCTTTTTCAAAAAGTGAATTTTTGGAATGAACATTTTTGGATTAACACTGAGAAGAGACAGGGCACAAGCTCAGGGGACCTGATGTAGACTCCAATAGATGAGAATTCTTCACATAGTTTCATCCCTTTTCACAGGATAGACCTCAATATTTGAAAGTTGTGCCTGAAGCTCTCTCTTTTACAGTCCCATATTCAGGGTTACTCTTGACCAAGTGGCTTAGTTCGAAGGAAGTGAAAAGTTGGAAGAAGTTCTAAGCAGAAGGGGAGTGAGGACAAGAGGCTTTCTTGGAGAACAAGAGAATTTCCAGGGAATCATGATAGTAGCATCTGAGTAACAATATTTGGGGAAAATGGATGGTTGGATGTGGATTAAACGAGATTGTGGCTAGTTTTCAACAGATGCGGCAAGAGCATAGGAAGCCATGGTAACACTCTAAGGATATCACCAATGTTTTTCTTCATGCCACTGAACCTGAATTTCTTACAATAAATTATGATTTCCTGGACAGTTGACATTGTACAAATTGAGGGCACAAGATAGACCTCATTTTGATGCCCCCAAAAGTAAGCACCACCATGTGATGAATTAGAAGATCTGACCCATCTTATTCTCTGCTTGAAGAACTGGTGCATTTATGAGAGTCCTCTAGTGATCTTGCTTGGCTTTGTTCCACTACTAGGACAATTGAAAGTGGAAATTTGCTCCATGACTTAGAAAGGAAAGAAAGACTCTGTGAACATGGTGCACTCCTAACATGACATTTTCAGCACCTGCTGATCTTGTGACAGAAAGCTTGTGGACACATTGCCATGGGGTACAATGAGCAGGCATAAATCTTACCTTGGGCAGGCTTGGCAATGCATTTGACTGGATGAGCAATTCTGAGCAATTCAGTGGAGAGCAGCAATTGAACATCATTAGGGATTGGGATCCTGAGTGCAACCCCTAGATTTCCAGTTGAAAGGAGACTGACTTGTAGTCTTGAATACAGGGCTGAAGTAGATCGCGACTTGCTGTCTAACTTGCTGTGTACGGGGAAGTGATCCTCAAAATGAATTTATACATGGATGATAGCACAGAAACTTTTTGAGTTAATAAAGTCACCTGCGGGTTTTTATTTTTCTTTTGATTAATATGTTAAAGAAGTTTTGTCAACAGCCTTGAATAGCTAGTAGGTGCTGATAAGAGAATCCACATGAACTTCTAAAGAATAGAATTTGAGTGTGGTTTCACAGGTGGCAGGCAAGAAGGCATCAGCTGGGGGTGTACAGAGAAGTAGATCTCTTGCTAAAGGGGGAAGCTTCAAAAGATGATTCCTGCCACGGTTAGCAGAATTCATCCAACTTCCTTCTGCCCCTTTACAAATAGGCACCACTTTTCTGGATGCTAAATACTCCAGGGCAGACTGTCACCCCAAAATTCAAAACTAAGCATGTTACCTCTTCATAGGAGTTTTCAGTTATAGTCATTTTATACAGTGAAATTGCATTCCTGTCTACCACTTGCATGGAAGAGTGAGCGCCATTCAAGTGGAATCCAGTGGTGTTTCTGTCTGAGAAAACAGACACAGGATTACATTGTCGGTGAACTTTAAG